CTGTATGCATGTGGGTTAACCTAAGGGGAAACCCATATGGTCGTATCTTTCATTTCGTTTAGGATAACGAGTTGAAAGGCTTCGTAACTGGGCGTCAATAGAGAACAAAAGAGGATTACCATAGAGTTTTGACTGGTGATTTGTGCGAAGATGTCATCGGCACACCGTTCTTCAACACCGATGAACCCTATCAATCTAACTTCTCTTAATCTCTACTCGAACTATTATCTAACACTACTTCCTTATCTTATTTCAGTGAATTTCAAAGCATATTGCTTAATTGCCTTCAATAGCTTTATTCAATCGTCTTGGCGCACAGTATCAGAAAGGATTGCAGTAAATAACAGGTCAATAAGAGTACCTCTGTCTTCTTTCCAAGTCAGCGCCAAACATATATCTACTATTTCGAGAAGTACCTCGCGTATTCTTGATATTTTGCATTAAAAACCTAAAATGCTACTGGGTCGGGGTAAATGATTATTTTTCTCATCAATTTTCCATACCCTTTGAATAAATTATTAATCAAAGAGAAGCGCAAAGAACAAAAATGCATGCGGTTGCGAATATGAATAGTTTTTCATAGGAAACTTCAGATAGTCCTTGTAGTCATAAAGTTCCTTGCCTAATTTTGCAAAAGTACACTTGAACAAAAAACGCAGAATAATTTGCATTAAGTTGGTAATAAAGTAAAATGAGTGGAGTAGCTACATAAATGAAAGCCTTAGGATTAGGTTGTCACTACTATTATTATTTGTTCGTCTCTTATTTTGATTCGTTGAATGCATTTGGAATTCTTATTTACCTTGTTTAGTTACATTTCCTCTTTCGCTCTTTCACTTTACCAGAATGGCGAGGTTATTTCTTCTGAGCCTGTCACCTCGAATTCGTCGGGGCCAGATCGTGTCTCAGCCGGTCATGTGCGAATAGGCCGTCTTGCGATTTGGGACGCTGACTCACCTCCAAACGCTGGTCCCTTCACTTGTCAATTGATGCAGAGTGGCGGAAGTAGTATTGCTGCTGGTGGAGGTGCAACTAATTTGATTGGAAGTACTGGTGGTTCTGGCGGTGGCAGCATGCATTCACCTTTTACTGGTGCCTCATTGTCGTCATCTGCCTCTTTGGGTACAGGTTCTGGCATCGGAGGTACTGGGCTCTTTTCAATCCGCAACTTCTCTGAGCAACATCAAACAACTGGAGGTTCGGCTAATGATCAACCCATAAGTTCCATCTTTCAAGAGGCGAGGGTTGACGCTGGACATTCAGGAAGCTGTTACCTCTATGCCATCGACCGTCTACCTGTAAGCTCTCTCTATTTTGCTATTTTCCTACTACAAACAATTCTAACATATCCACGGGGCACTTTTATATGGTCCTTTTTACCTGTCTCTCTTAATAGGTGGGCAGCCAGACGTTGATGGTTCGCGTTAATGATAATGGTCTTACTGCTCTACACACAACAACAACTGTCACTATCCATGTTGTAAGGCAGTCTAATCTGCCCCCGGAGATTGTTCGGGGCAATGCAACACTCACCTACTTCGCAGGGATCAGTAGGTTTGGAAGCCTACATGAGTCAGAAAGTCATTATTCATATTCCAGTACCGGATTTTCTCCCGCCCCACCTCCTCCAATCGCTAGAGTTACCGTTAAGGACCGCACTGCCTATGATAGGCTCGTCTTCGAGCTAGTTCCCGGCAGCCCTGGAACACAGTTGTTTCGAGTAGATCGTTACGATGGAAGCATTCGGCCTGCCATCCCAGGTGGCTCTGTGGCTGGAGTCTCCAGAAAGGGCGCAGTAAGTGGATTCGATTGGCATGATATTGGCACAGACGGGGGTTCCAGGCCATCGGCCTCTCGTGGTGGCGTCGACAACGAGATTCTCGACGATTCTTTGGACCGAAGCTACAAAGCTGGATCGTCGATTAATTCATTCAGCTTGGATATGTGGCGCAGCCTCACGCGCCTTGACTCGGGCATCTATCCGCTTCGGATTCGTGTCAGCAATGGATCTCTTTCCTCAGAGGAGACAATCTTCATCAGGGTACTAAATATGTTCTTATTTAAATATAATCGATAGCTGTTAATAACCGGCTGTTGCTTATCGTTTATTCATTCAAAACCCATTATTTTTAATAAAGCCATTAAACTATTTATTCTTATGCCACTTATTTAAGCATGCATGGCTAAACTAATCCACTTGGTATTTGGGCTTGATCGTCCCTGCTGCAATTTTTGGAATTATGCCTTTCTTTTCGAAAGTAGTATTGACAACAGCACACCTTCTCGCACAGATATCATAATCATTGTGAGCTTATTTCGATGGCTTCTTTAATTTTACGTTTAACCGCTGACATAGCATAATCAGAAAAACGAGAAGTTTGAGACTATTCAATCTCATATCCACTTTCTGCCTTGTGCTATAAAATGATATATTCTTGTTGTCGCTTTATGTTGGAGACACTTGTCGCCTCATTCGATAAAGGGTGACAGAGCACAAAAGCGCCCTTAGAGGTTGTTGGGTTTATAAATCAGAGCTAGTTGAGCATACGGTAGAAGCTGGACATGTTGTTGAAGGGTCTCAAACGTCTCATTTTGCTGATTATGGTGTGTCTGTGACTAAACGTAAAACTAAAGAAGCCATCGAAATAAAACGAACGGGAAATACTTTGAATGTAAGGAATACCGGCAAGTAGTTAAATAAAAACTACTTTGCTTAATTAATAGACTCAAGGATAGAGAGAAATGTCGAATCGCCCGCCAAAAGGAGGTGACTCAACTATACTTTTCTTGTCTTGGTTCTAATTACTTTTCTGTACTTTTTCTCTGACATGAAGTCAAAAAGCTCATCAACATAACCAGATGCGTGTCCGATCTTGCGCAACCGGAGTGATGCTAAAAATATATATAGAGACTGTGTGATGGTTGTCATCAAGCCTTGATGACCGTGAGCTGACTTTACTTTTTCTGTTCTAATTACTTTGAGCCATAACTGCTGGTTTCATGCATATGCGAATACATGCAGACACATACACATAAACAGACGCACAAATTCACACGCTTCGAGGTTGGCATATGACTGGAACTAACCAAATCACTTTATATCTCATCAAAGAGCCTAGATATGGGGTACATATACAGCTTTTAGGAATGAGCCGGTGAATTTTATCAACTCGTTAGCTTGAATGTAGTTGTTCTGATGAGTTACGCATTACGACGGACGAAAGTTTAGCACGTTTTTTATTTATAAGTAGGTTTTTGGGACTACCAATGCGTTTTCACTGGAATCGAAAGAGATTGCCTTGGAAACAGCGTCTAGAAGAATGTTCCAGTTAAGCCAATCGACAGCTAGTCGCAAAGAATTCGCCGTCATCTTCTCATGGGATCGGCCTTCGGATCTCTTCATTGAACATTTTCACTCGTAATGGAATTAAGGTCAACAATTATATCTATATCTCCTCTGCATACTAGCTGAAGTTGCTTGTTTTTCCTCTTCTGGTAGACATTAAACTTATTGCTATGATGAAGACAAGATTTTACTGCCTAGAATTCATCTGGTAGCCTAACTTCTTGGTGCCTTTTTCTTTACCGATTAAGAAACAACTTCTCAGGGATCAAGTTTTAACGTTGGCTTTTGATTTTAGTTTTGCGTTGTGGTTATTGAGCTTCTTTTCTTCCTCCGCTGTCATTTGGACTGCAATTCACAGATACTCATGGGTTGAATAATCGGTTATGATTAGTTCAAAATTACTTTCTTTTCGATCCCCTTATTCTTGCTTTCCTTCAATTGTATTTCTTTTCTTATTTAAGTGAAACGTTGATAAAGCCTTTTTCTCATAGTGTTTGAGATTTTCTCTGCCAGAAAATGTCGTTGATTGTTCTTGATATGCTTTAATGGACTTTGATATAAATCTATGGGGCCTTCAGATTGACATCATTCCACCTCTGTAAAGCTGGGCTTAACTTTCATGTTGCTGATTCATGTTTGTATATCTCCTCACACATTTTTCCAATATTTCAACTGTCCTAATATTATAAATTTGTTCTGTTTTCTCTATCTTAGCTTACCCACTAACATATTATTGGCCTATATCGACTCTATCTTTATTTCCACTGATGTGAAACTAGGGCATTGCTTTGTTTGATCAGATGGAAGTCTAAATCTTACGTATTGTTGTGTTATTATGTCATGACGTGGGACGGTTTAAAAAACTTTTCCATTAGGTATGGTGCTATTTATTAACCTATCTCCTTCACCGACTACCTATTAATTATTTGAATTCTCCCTTAACATTTAGCTGTGTTTTTCGTCTGCCTGGTTTAGTTGTTATATTCTTGCTTTTGATTTTACCTTTGTGAAATTCAGGTAAGAGAAGAAAGATCATTTATTTTTTCAACTCTTCTTTGCATTTTGACTCTATGAAAAATGATTACACAATTTTGGTCCTGCCCATTTTCATGGTTGGACCTTCATTATTATTACCATTATTATTTATGTTAAACTATCTTTCTTTATCAAGCTATCTCCCATTGTTTCCGAACATAGCTATTTTTATATATATATTTGGCTCTGTTAATCTCAAGGGTTGCATCAGCACTTGTTGCATTTTAGACAGTGTGCGTCACGATGTGTTTGCACTTTTCTTCTTTTCTAATCTTCCTTCCCGTCCAATTGTTCTATTTCTGCTATGGTCCTCCCATTTGTCCAGCTTTCTTCTCACCTTAAACCTCATATATGCATGCATCTATCATTTTGTAACACTTCTTTGCTATTTCTGGTTCCTATCCTTTAAACTCTTTGCCCTTACTTTCGACGGGAGCTCATCTGCGCGATTGCTACAACAACCTCATATCCATAGTCATATACTTTATTATGTTGACACCTTTATCGTGTTTCATTTAATCTTTTCTTTCCTTCTGCCTCATTACTTATCATTTCTTCTCTCTCTC